GTTAGGGCGGCTAGGAGCTGGAACCAACTTCCAAGGGAAGTGGTGCTGGCCCCTACCCTGGGGGTCTTTAAGAAGAGGCTGGATGCCTACCTGGCTGGACTCGTTTGAGTCCCGTTTCTCTTTTTGGGGTTTTTTGTTGTTCTCCTGCCCTGGCGGGGGGTCGGGCTAGAAGATCTACTAGGTCCCTTCCGACCCTTAATCTATGAATCTATGAATCTATGAATCTATAAGAAATACGCAATGACAAGGTCCCTGCCCTCAAAAGCTTGCAGCCAGTCAGGTACTAATTATTTGATGCCTTAACGAAGGGCATGGGCCAGGTCTCAAACAAAAAGGCTATTTAGCACATTTTCACTGTATTTTCTGGTAAAGTAATATGTGATCTCAAGAGGGGTAAGACTACTGTGCACAAACCCACAACAGTGCTTAGCTCCATCTGGCTAAATTACCAACAATGGTGCTCACCGTGAGTGGAGCTGCAAAGGTAGCCTGTGGGCATGTCTACACATGCAATTAATGCAGCTGAATATACTCTGGCTCAATTTGAGCTGGAGTAAACTAATCCTGACATCAATTACACATGCATTTAAGTGCAATAATTACTATCCTGTGCTGGAGTAAATTAATCTACTGCACACATGCAGATGGTAACACTTTACTGTGCATTAAATTCATCTAATGAGCAGTAAAGCACACTTGTAGAGGTGCCGTGTTACAATATTCTAGCAGAAGCTTAGTAAGGGATGGCATCACCTAAGTATAGACAGTCTCCGTGGGCGGAAGAGTGACTGTATATTTGCAATGGAAGGTTATTGTCTTACAGCTTGAAAGGTTGCAGTGATCTGAATGGCGTGTCTCTGATTGTGTTTGCTGCTGGATGGGATGCATCTCCACAGGCCCATACTTCTAATGGCTAATGGAGATTGTCCTCGTCAACCGTTGGCCTGTGCTCTTGGGGCTGGGACAGCTCTCTGGGCTGTGTTTTCTCTGCTGCCATAAAGCTCAGTGACTAAGGTGTACGGTATAAGGATGACAGTAGATTCCCTCTATGGGATGGATTTATGACCTGAGGAACCATAAAGATAGGCAGCTCGTGAACTGTACATAAAGCAAGCCTCTCATGCCAAAGAAAAGGCTACTATGGTTGCCTGAACACAATGGTGATGGGCTCACCATAATACCTTTGTAGAGCTACACTAGTTGTCTTATGACCAAGTTCATTCCCTCTGGTTTTGCGTGATTTTTTTTCTTTTCATTTTTTAACATATTTTCATCACAATTAAATTTTCATAACAAGTATCTTTTTTCCCGGGCACACCCTTCTCTTGTGCGCCCACACATATGAGAGGTCTCTTTCAAAATGTTCCACGCGAAACTAAAACGGCCAAGCCCTTCCCGAATTCTCCTGTGCGCCCAGACCCAAAACTGAGCCCCTTCACCCTGCAGCTCTCTTCACAGTACTGTGAAGCTCAAGTTACTGGCAAATTCATCATCTTTATAGTGGATGGTCTTACCATGGATGGGAGTTTAAGACATTTAAGCACCGATAGAAACCAACTTCCAAGCAAAGAAAATGTCACCTTGGCAGCCTCAACAGCTGGAGCACAGCTTATGCTAAAACAAAACTCCAGGGCCAGATCCAGACGTGCCGGCACGTGCGGTGGGTGGTGTCACAAACCTCTTTGCAGCGCCACAAACCATATGCCTGGCACATTTAACTGTGTGCGGTGCTACTAATTTGCAGTGCTGGGGCAAAATTTGCTGCTGGGATTTCCCAGGAGCAAAAAAACCCTGAATAAAAAAGCAGTTCAAAGCACACCCAGATGGTGTGTGCCAGGACAAATGTGGAGATGGGGGAGCAGGCAGCCCTGGCTGCTCCCTGGCTGCCTGGGGCACAGCATACCTCGAGATGGGAGCTTCATGTGCCCAGCATGGGGGCTGTGCAGCAGCCACTTCCCCCCTCACCATGGAGCAGCAGGACAATGTGCCCCGGTGCAAAGCCCCCGGGAAGAGGAATGCACTACGGCACAAAGCAGCACAAATTCGTGCCATTACTATATGTGCTGCTGCAAACACACGCCCCTGCTCATGTGGATGTGGCCCAAGAGACCTGAACAGTGCTGGGTAGATGCCCTGGTGGCAATAGGATTGTGCCCAGCAGAGCTAGAGGTTACATTCTTTTAACAGAGTCTTGGTACATTCGTGTGTGAAACAAATAACATCCGAGGGCACTGGCCGTGCATGTAGGTTGGGAACCCAATAGTTTATCATGAATAAAGCAAATAAACCCACTCAGAATCATGTGAGGTCTCTCAGCCATGCCAAGGCGGGGAGGAGGTAACATGCAGCAGCTCATGCTGGCATGCTGCGGCACGTAAACGAGCGGCGGCACACGTCTGGCAGCGGGACGTACTCCAGAATCATTTCTGCATTGATGCCCTTGGCACTTCAAAAAAAAAGCAAGCTGGCTGGGACTGTGGCTCTGGATGTGTGTGGGAGGTGTTTGTCTAGATCCAGGCAGGGAGGTGTATTCATGGATTGTCCAGATTAGTAGCATAGCAAGCACAGAATTTAAGTAGCATGATGCATTTGAAACCATCCGTCTTTGGGTTAAAGCAAGGCCAGTGAAAAGGTGCAATGTGGCGGACCCTGTACTTTCTCAGGGGCTATCATACGCTGGTGCCAGTACACTGGGAAGGGATGTGTCGTGGCATGATCCCTGCTGTATTGTGATGCTTTGGTACTTCAAATGAGTAGGAAGAGTTTGTTAGGGGCCTCCCTCCTGGAGGTACTAAACTCTGTAACCATGGTCTCAGTCCAGATGTGAATGACCAGTGCTTGATTGTGAAGATATCCACAGGCCATTGGCATGCCCACATGGAGGGTGCTTCAGATGGCAATACCCCTCCCACGGCTCTGCCTCTAATCTGTTGGCCTCACACCTGGCACTGAAGCTCTACGTGCATTTTGGGGTGGCAGTGGATGCTTGCAGAACAGGGAGGGTGTGCAGCTTGCCAGCACTTCTTTGTCTACCCTTTGTACCTTGTTCTCAGATGGGAAGGGGTCTTCCTAAAGGAGGGGAGGGCACTGTTTCCACCCACTCCCCTGTGGGTGGGGTGGGGTGGGGTGGGGTGGGGAGGGCCTACTAATGCCCAAATAGCAGTCACATTGGGTGAAGAACAACAGACGCATGGGTGGCTATAGCTGGATCCTCTTGCTCATCCTTCTTGGACAGGCTATGGTTTATGATAATATTAAAGTGGTTTCTCACTATGACTCCAGAGTTGTGAGTTTGAACCCTGATCTGGGCTTATGCAAAGGCTGTCACTGGTCAACCCAGCTAGTCATCCCGGCTGGGGAGTCAAAAGTACCAGCCATTGTGCTGATCATCATGTCGTTCTCTCACGTGCAATGAGCTATAGGAACTGCTGTGACCTAACCAGCCTAGCACTGCATCTGCTAGGTTCAAGCAGGCCCTTGACCTGGGCTGCTACTGCAGTCCATTGCTTTTCTCCTCATTACAGCTACATCTCTGACAAGGAGTCCCTCAGTGCTCTGGCAGGGAACCTCCTGGGCTGAGGCATTTGTTCATGAACTCCCAGTTGCAGGCAACAATATCAGACTTGGAAAAAAGATAAAGGGTGGTTGCATTAATGATTTTATTTCATTTCTGACCGTTCTGTCTCTCTCTCTTGCAGGGAAGGAATTGCCATGCCCGCAGGGATCTTCCGAGTGTGCCTGGTGGTGATAACAGCTATCGTCAACCACCCACTCCTCTTCCCCAAAGAAAATGCTACTGTCCCCGAGGACACGGAGGAAATCATCCAGAGGATGAAGGAGCGTGAGGAGAACCTCCGGCTGGAGCAGCTACGCTTGGAGCAGGAGATGGCAGGGCAGGAGTCCGCCCAGAAGGCTTTGGAAGAGGCCCCTAAGCTGGAGGAGAAGCTCGAAGAGGATGCTCTGCGTTGGGACTTGTGGAGCGCCATGTCCATGGTTGTCTTCTTACTGATTGAGCTCTGGAGGCAAGATTTCCAGGATGGGAACTGGCAGGACTGGGCCGGTGAGGAGGATGACATGGCCATCCTGGGGAAAGCGTTTAAGGGGGTGGCCCTGCCAAATAAGGCCACCTTGACCAACTTCTATGAAAGGTGCATCGTGGGTGTCACTGGCGAGATGGCCCGGATGCGAGAGTTGGTGGAAGGTTTTGCAGACGACTTGTTGGAAGCCCTGCGGAGCGTGTGTAACCGGGATGCTGACATGGAGGTGGAAGAATGCATAGGGGTAGGGAGCATGTATGAAAACTGGAGGGTGCGCAAGCCATATGTGTGCGACTTGATTGTGCCTTTTACCCCTCCAGAGCCCTACCGTTTCCGATCCCAGGTGTGGTGCTCTGGGGACTCCATCCCCCCAGATAAGCAAGGCTACGGTACCATCAAGGTTTGCCGGAGGGATGAGGATGTGGCAGGCTGTATCTGCGACAAGACTAAGCTGGGTGAAGACATGTTATGCCTCCTCCATAGCCAAGCCAGCCAGACCAGGCACAACAGTGAGAGGGAGGACCTGCTCTGCTTTAACAACACCCAGTATCTGGATGCTGACCAGGTGATGAAGTGGTTCCAGATCGCCATCACCAAGGCCTGGAACAGAATATCCCACAAGTACGAATTCGATCTCACCTTCAGCCTCTTGGACTCCCCAGGTGCCCTGAAGATAAAATTCAGGTCTGGAAAGTCCATCGCCTTCAACATCACCCCCGTGGTGCAGTGCGAAGACTCTGATGTCTACTTCATCTCCCACTTTCCCCGCAGCGGCCTGACAGCTGATCCCTCCTCCAACACTTACTGGTTTCTTACGTTCGCGGTGTACGAGAGACGGTTCATCCATTCCCTCTCCAAAACACTGCCTGCCAACGCCTGCCACCTCAGCTGCCTTCAGATCCTCTCCTTCCTGCACGAAAAGCAATGTAGCCTCTCGGGTCCAAGCGGCCTCACAAACTATCACCTGAAAACAGCAATGCTGCACTTGCTACAGACCCGTCCCCGTCAGGACTGGGCCCCGGAAAACTTGGAAGCCAGGCTGCAAGACATGCTGAAATTCCTGGAGAAAAGCCTGCAGGAAAAGAAGCTATGCCACTTCTTCATTGGAAATCGTAAGGTGCCAGAGGAGCTAGGTTTCCCGGGGATATTCCAGAAGGCTGAGCCCCTCAACCTTTTCCGATCGTTTGTGCTACACAGGGACATTTACCAGAAGACGGTGGATACGTTTCACGAGATGCTGAGGAACACAGCTGCTCTGATAAATGAGTACACGGTGCACGTTCCTATAGAGCATACAAACGGGCTTCACAAAGAATGTCTTTAGCCAAGACATCTGAGAAACACTTGTCCTCTATGCACAAGTCCCTGGGGCAGCTTACAAGCCTTATCGAGGCAATGGACTTTGACAGGAGAGATTTCCACCTTTCATGGCAGCTAATTCAGGCCTGGTTTACCCAGCATCAGGGAGGAAAGAGAATGGGTAGAAACTGGAAAGCACACGCTGTGAAAGTGTCTCTACTCCACCAGTGCGTTAGCTATTCTTTATGCAACTCAGAATATATTTTTTTACTATGCACTAGTCCGACTGTGGTGGTGACAAGCAACAGATGTAATTTATACAGATGTTGCATTGCAAAAACATTGGCAATTGTTCAGCGTCTCAAGCCAAATATTGAGTTTGTTTTTAAAGAGGACATAATAAAATGGTGAGGAGAATCTAAGATAAAAGAGGATGCTGGAAGAGTCCTCTTCTCTGAAAGGCAACAGCTCTGTGACTGCTGTTACTCTGTTTTTCTTCCCGTACTATTATTAGTCTTTTGTATAGTCATAATGATAATGTCCAGGGGAGTAGATTTTGTGCGTGGGTGAATATATTTGCATGGCAGTTTTCCATGTCTGCTCTGGATGAAACCAGATGTAAAAGAAAAAAAGAAAAAAATACTTCCTCCAAGACACAAAACTGTAAAACGGCAGATGCCAAGAGATAAATGTTTGGGCTCTTCATGTAACCAGATGATGCATGAGAAGAGGGAGCTCACCAAAAAAACTATGAAATGAACCCAGTCGCAATAAGCTGATGCCAAAGGGGTAGATCTTAATCTCAAAATCTAGTACAAATCATGTAGTGCATTTTTAATGCAGTCAGGGCAGGTAAAAGTGCTGTAACTAAGGGAGAGGGCAGAGCACACTGGTGGCTGGCAAACTTTGTTTTTGGAGCAATGCTGCAGTCTGACTCCCTCCATCGTGTCTGTCTTATCTTCCCTAGGGGAAATCTGGGGTATCTGCCTGCATCCAAGCAAGGCTTCTTCTAGACCTCGTTAATGCTGCTGCTTCGAGTGGGTTGCATTTAGGAGCGTCAGGTAGAGCAAGCTGCATGGCCTGCAGTCACCTGAGACCTGACCATAGCGAATGTTCAGCCACTACTGGCCTTCAGGTAGGAGAGAGAGAGAAAGTCTTGGATGACCGTACGAGCTTTTAATGCTGTTTTAATCAAGTAGAGCTCTTCAACTTGGGTGTACTGTTTTCATTGTTCTCCTTTTGGAAGAGGAAGACGCAGCCGTGGTTGGCGGCATGGATAGCATTGGTTGTTCCATCCTACAGCAGATTACTGTAATTCCTGTATTATTGCACCTCCCCACTTGACCCATATATGGCAGACACAGAAGATAGGTTTGATCCTACTATCCTGAAGGTGATGCCTTCTGGCAGGAGTTCGTTATCCAGCTTGCCATTAAGCAGACCTTCAAAAGAAGATTGAAGCACAAATCATTGCCTCGCCAGGGACAAGGGAGTTGTGGGACACAGACATATAGGGTGGCAGGGCAGGGATGTTAATAGCTTACATGTGTCCCAGGTGAGAGAGAGGAACCCATTTGCAATGAGCTGCCGAGTAACTACCCAAGTGTGTAACTACACCGTTACCCATGCCACTGCACCCAGGCTTGCTACAGAAAGTGGGGAGGGAGTGACAGGAGGGAGAGGGGCAATTGGCCAGAGCCATAGGAGAAAGTCTTGGGTCCTGCATGAAGCAGATATTTGTCTCCATCTCCAAGCTCCTGTAGCTCTGTGCTCAGGAGAACCTCATAGCTGGAGAAGCAAGAGGGAAGGTCTCACTGCTGGAGGTCAGGTGTGAAGCTCACTGGTGCTGTCAGATTAACCTTTCAGCACAAGCCATTAAACCCCTTTAAGAGAAATAAAAACCAGGCTTGAGGCACTCTGGGAGAATCACACAGTGATGGGCAGAAGTAAAATGCGGGGTTTGAGACCCGTGGGGATCTGGAGCTTCTCATATGTCTAGACTATTTTCAAACTAAAGCAACAACTTTGCAGCTGCTGAGTTTCTCACTCCCTGAGGTCTGTTGTACAGTATCTACACCAGACCTATATTTACACAGATGTACTATGTGCAGATCATGGTGAAGCACTTGCGGCCTCGGTTCCTCTTCACTCTGTTGCTGCCATGGCCAGAGACAAATTTAAATCTCTGCTGTTTCCTGCAAGGAGCCTAAATTTAGCATACGAGAAGTACAGAAATAAACCCGTGACCCAGGCCACACAGGAAACGTTGTCCTGGGCTGAAAAAAAAACATTGAGCCTTTTATATAAAATGAGGGAAAGGGAGAGTAAAAGACTGTTTATAAACAAAAATTCTCGTTTCCCTTATGCAAAATTTTGGAACAAAGGTCCTTTCATCCAGCATGGATTTCCTCTCTGGTGGCTTGACGCTTGCTGGTTTTAGGAGGATGTTTGAAGTTGAGTTCGCAATCATAAACAGGTAGTGGGGAAAGTAAACTTTGCAAATGACACTATGTTAGCAACATGTTAAATAGGAGTAGGGGCATTAGGGATTTTTTTCTCAACCTGCTGGATTGTCCCGTGGCAGTTCTGGACCTTGTCTGGTGGTAATAGAAGAACTGTAGAGCACTAACAGAGACTCCTAATGAAACATGTCTTGCCTCAGTCCCTTTCTTGGACAAGATACCACTCCACTAAGTGTTTAACGTGACATGCTTACTCTGCTTCAGGCTTTTCTGCTGATCACTCTGCAACTTCAGGCTATAAGGGAGCCTACAGATACGTCTCCACTCAGGGGAAAGCACTGTGTGTGAGCACACTCACCGTGCTTCAGGAAACCCCATGGGAGAGCTCTCCTTATGGCTATCACTCTGCATGCATTTCAACACAAGATGCTTACTGCAGAGTAGACTAATTAGCTTTGCAGTAAACGTGTGCCTGCACATGCACCCCTATTAAGCTGGAGTCAATGAATTAATTCTGCAGCAGGATAGTACTTATATTTACAGGATAGTACTAACTTACAAGTACTATCTTCCCCTGGAATTTTTTGCTTCGCAGCGGTGCACGTGTAGACATTGCCCTGGCTGGCTGGGGCATGAGGGTGCTCCAGTGTGCGGCTGCCTGTCGGCTGGCCCTGCACTGGAGCGCCCTCATGCCCCAGCCAGCCCCTGCACAGCACGTCAACCAGGAGGGGAAGCAGCCCCGACCTGGCAGGCTGATCCCTGGCACCCTCTGCCAGCCAGGGCTGCTTTGATCCAGCTTGACATGCTGCAGTCCCAGGTGCACATTCAAACAGCATATCAGGGAGCAATACGCTCTGGAGTTTATTGCTTTGCCTTAATTGCACATACAGCTGTGCGTTGAGAGCTCAGACCTTTAGGTGCTGAGTACCTTGCTTAATCTTACCATCACCATAGCAATAAAAAAGGGTATAAAGGGTGGAAGAATGGTCCTTCACAGTCGGGTCTTATCAATTTTAATACTAGAATACAGTTAGCCAGACATCACCCTTACTTGCAGAAGACTACAGCATTTCATCAGTCTTCCATGCAGTCTACACTGGCTAGTCAAAATGTCCTTTGCTAGCTAGATCTGTGTGTAAAGACATTTGGCTAACGTATCTGGAAGTCTACAATATCCAGTCTTACTCAGAATTCCTCGAGAGTGGACTCATGGGTTTTTATGGTTTTAATTTTCTTTTGCAACCAAGTGCTATGTGACATGCAGTGAATCACTGCAGGAATGGTCCCGAGGAAGTTCAAACTGTGGGGATCCTTTCTTCTACTAGTTGTTGTTATTGCTAACCCTTAGCCAGGGAAACTCAGCCAGGAGGGTCTAGCATCGTCCCCCTGTATTCCAACCACCTTCCCTAAAGCAATTTAATTGTTTCAGTATGTCACTATAGGCTCTATCAAGGTGAGGGAAATCACTGTGGCCTGATAAGAGCCATCAAAACAGCCTCAGGGGCTATTCATGTGCGGGCAACACCGTTATTAAAGCTATTATCGTTCAGGAGCCAAATGTCTCTTAAGGCAGTCTCTTCATTTTGGAGAGTTCAGTCCTCAACTTGCATCAACCGTGGGATATGGCATCTATGTCTCCATTGTTCCACATACCGATCATTTATCTTTTTTTTTTGGCTTTTTTAATAAGAAACTCAAATATTTGCTCTGTCATGTAAGCAGGATGTGCCAATTACTCTATTGGACTTTTTAACATAGACTTTGTATAACTTTCTGTTGCGGGAGCGAGGCAACAAAAGACCTCAACCTGATTTTCACAGCCTAGGTGACAGCGGGCTTGACTGGTTGCTGCTTCTTCTGGGACCATATGTGGTAAATAGCCTTATTTATTACTAGCCTTCTTTACGGACACTTTTGTAATATTTTGTTAGCTTGGAAGCAAGACTGTACTCTGAAGAGCTGACCTGGCAGGAATAAGTGAGCGTTGGGTTAAGACACAACACCCAAAACCTTCCAGATCAAGCTCTTCCTTGAGTTTTCAGAACATCCATAATATAGTCCATTTAAACTTTTTAAAAGGTATTCCAGGAACAATTTCTATATTAAAGTCCTGCTTGAAAAGCAGAACATAGTTGAAATCTGTATATATTTTTTGTGCAGCTTTATTTAAAATAAAGGTGGTGTTTGAAGTCTCTATGAATTCTACAGGAGTGAAATCCATTTATTACTAGTCTCTTAAAGGCTTGTGCATTTCCCAGACTACCCAGAAGGCTGGGATCCCAGTACGGTGGGTAGGATCCTGACATACATACATACAGTCAGCTCCCAGGAGGTTGAATTAGGGTTCCTGAGAGTTATTCCAGAATAAGATTGAGAGTGAGTTTAAAATAATACAGCTATTTTGGAATAAATCCAGGGACAAGGACTCGTAATTGTCCCAGAACAAGTGTCCATGCATGCAGTTATTCTGGAATAACCATTTCTGTAGATTATTCCTGATTAAATTCATCCATAGACAAGCCCTAAATGCCACCCTCTTGACCAGGGATGAGCTTGGTTTCCTGATCTTCCCATCCTTCAGCGGCGGGGAGACCTATTTGCCGTTGTATTTAATAGACAACCGCAGACAGGGGTGGCCAACCTGCGGCAGGTTTGCCATAAGTGGTACCGGCAGTCTGCATGTGGCATGTGGCCGATGGGAGGGAACAGGCTGCAACAGCAGCAGATAGCAAGGGACAGAAAAGAGAGCAGCAAATCAGCACAGGGCAGGGAGCAAAAAGCAGAGCAGATGATCGGGTAGGGGAACAGGACTGGAGTGGCTCCCAGGCAGCATGGGGCTAATTTGTGACATGGCTGGCAAAAAGTTTGGCTCTAAACCAAGGCCCAGCTCCTAAGACCAGACCCCAGCCCTTTTGGTGATCTCCGCCTACTCTCCTGGAGACCCAGATAAACCTTTTGGAGTCCAGCCCAAATTCCAGAAGAAACAGATTGCCAGCAGCCTTATGCTTACTGCGCTCTCCTCCTCCATCCCGGCTTGTAAAAGTCTCCCTGGTTGGGTCCTTTGTTTTGCGACTTCAGTGTGTTGGATCCAGCCATGGAGACCAACAACCTGGCTGTGGTAGATGACTTGGGCTATATGTGCAATAGGGATGTGAGATTGGTAGAGACCTGGCTGAAGTCCTCCTATAGTGCACGCACTTGCAATACAGTTAGGAGTGGGACAGCTGGTGTGTAGGGAGCCCTAAGTAGCCATGCTAAAAAGAGAGCTCTTAATGCACATCTCAAGTGTTTCTTCAAGTTCACTCTCCTCTATGGCATGGAGATAAGGACTTTTCTATTTAAGTCCCACTGCCTGTCTTCTCCTGTAACCAATCTGTGGTAGAACAGAAGCAGGGAAGAAACTTATAAAAACATTTTTACTTGGTTTTTAAAAGTAATTTGCACAGAGAAAAAACAATCTCTGTTTCTCCCAGTCGGCAGCATCCCTCCTTTTGTTTTCTGCCTTAAAATAATTTTGGAGAGGAGAGATGGATCCTAACTCTGGTGGGGTCAAATACTTTGAAATGTTCAGAGCTGCAGAGGTAAATTTTGGAAAGTGATATAAAGAAAGCAGAATCAGCCAGATGCTTTTGAAACCTGCGGTGGGCTCTTTCTTCTCAGGCTGTCAAGTCTAGATGGGAAACAATATTAAAATGACTAAATCTGAAATGGGGAATATATTTCAGGATATATTTGTTACTTATTTAATTTAGTAAAGGTCAGGGTGCTAAAGATACAGGCATTTTCTGTCCTTGATAACCAGCTAACGGTGGAATTTCTTAGGTGTTGGGATATGAAAATTACTAAGACGCTTCAGCAATTACAGACTCGGTCTTAGACATTCACAGTTTTTCATGTGGGGCGAGAGTTCAACTACTATATTTACCTCTTTCTCCCTTAATGGCCAATAAAACTTCTATCAGAAACATTAAAGCTTCCCACTAAGTCTTGACGTTCTCCCTCATCATAAAGT